GGCGAGGACCAGGGAGGATGATTCAACCACTAGATGTCACTGAAAACAACAAATCCCACACACTGTGCCTTTAAACACCATGGTAATAATTAGCTTTGTTTGGTTGGTTTTTTTTACTGGTGCATTGTTCCTCTTATGTATTTGCACTTTTTTAAATGGTATGACAAAATTAACAATTTATTGCAAAATTTTTTGGAGGACCCACAAGCAAAAGCTCATGTGCTCCTGGGGTTCCAGGGACCCCAGTTTGAGAACCTCTGGTTTTGACCTGTTCCCTCTTCAGGAATCATCCTCCATCTCACTCCAACTAGAAACATCAGAAAGCTGTTGGACAAATACAGTCTGAATGAGACCAGGTAATATTTAAGGTTCACAAAGTCAATAATGATCTGAAACAAACCAATATCCCGAGGCTGGAGCTTACAAAAACATTTTTATGTACAAAATTTCATAAAGTTTGTCAACAGACAAATAAAAATTGTGAACAATATGAAGCAACAATGTATAAATAAAATAAAACGTTAAAAACGGGATCACAAAATTCATCTGTACAATTCTTTACATRGCAAAAGATTGGAAGCCATCTTCAGATCTGACAATATTACATAAAAAAACACATAAAATGGTTTACAAAGGTACCACATGGAGGAAACAATGATTTTACAGAAAAGACGTTTTATCAGTATCTATATGCAGAAAGAAAATATAAGAAGGTGTATTTGGCAGCTTATGTTGTTCCTGGACTGATTAAAGCATCATGACTAAAATCAAACTTCAATGATCATTTGATGTTCACCACATTTCAGATCAGAAGTTTTAAACCCAGATCATCTTATTGAGAAATAAAGTTGTAGCTGTTTTGATTAAACAATAGAAGTCATTTTTGTKTTGGTTAATGTTAATGTATAATGTTAATTAGCCCTGGCAGCTATCTTGAATCTAGTCGATRCCAAAACTGTCAATTAATTGTAAATTCAATTATTAATTTCTGAAAGTTTTATTAAAATTTATGTAGTGCTCCATGGGGTATTTTACTAACAAACATACAGTTGGTAATTGTTAAAGCCCTGTCACACGATAACGTTTTAGACAACTTGTGAAATTTTTTAAAGACATCTACACTGCCTGGACCAAAAAAAGTCACCACTTGGATTTAATTAAGTGCTATGTTAAAGATGGAATTTAAAAATTAAATAGAAGCCAGTTTTAGGCGTGTACACATACTGTGATGCTAACAACGTGGTCAAATGTATGACTTTTATTAGTAACTTAGACATTAAAAAATTCATAAATTAGCATAAGTTGTCTAAAATAATATAGTGTGACAGGAAGTTTAGTAAAGTTTTTAAAAAAAAACAAATCTCACATGATCCATTATTCTCAAAGTGTTGAGAATGATTCTCGGCTACTGCCATAATAAATCTTACCATATTATTGGTAAAAAGGACTTAGTTGTAGCCCTTTTTGTCTTTGTGGTGTGAGTTTATATTAAAATAAATAAATAAGAAGAAGTTTATTTCAAATATGAGGCTCAGAGTCACAGCTTCAGGGTCTCAGAATGTGTTTATATCAGCATAACTGTATGGTGGAGTCCACCCAGGCCAGGTGGAAGCCAGGATACACCGGCTCAGTGAAGGTGGTGTGGAAAGTGTGGAGAAGGGTGAGCTCACCACTAGAGACCCTGTAGAAGGACAGGGTTCCTGAGGGCCAGTCGAGGTAAACYCCTACTCTATTAGAGCTGGGTGAGRCAGGAACGACCTCATTCGTGCCTCCGTGCAGGACCCTGTAACCGTCTGTGGTGTAGCTCAGACCCCAGGAGACGTCATTCCTGCCCAACCAGCAGTCAGAACCTTCCCCCTTCCTGCAAATCCGTCTGTAGGTCACTCCCACGGTGCCCCTCCCGCTCCACWCTGTCTCCCAGTAGCACCGACCCTCCAGCCCCTCCTTACACAACACCTGAGTCCTGAAATCGAACCTGTCCGGGTGATAGGGACACGGCTGCTTGGTCCAACGTRTTGCCTTCCTGTTCCCCTCCGACAGAGACAGATCTGCGTGTGCCGTGTTTGGGTCCAGGGTCAGTTTGTTGGCGTCTGATGAGTCAGATAAAAGAAAATTRATTGTGTTCAAATAAATAAAATAAAAAAACAGACAATAATTTGGTTACTCACATTTCTTTGGACCAGGCAGGATCCTAGATTCACCACACTGCTCCACACTAACACAAAACACACCAAAAATCAAATGTTTCCCACATTCTAATATCTAAAATCTCTCTTCTAACAAGCTAACAGCTAAGCTCTGTCTTAAAGGGGCAATGTTATGTGTTTTTCTGGCATATATTTAAATACAATACAATAATAAAGTAACTATGTCACCTTTAGTTGTTATTGAAATGCTGTTTTTATGTTTAAACTGTCTGCCTCTGTCTCTTTAAGAACCTCCTTCTGCTTCTGTCCTGTCCCATTCAGTGCCTGGGGTGGGGGGGTAGCGTGCACGAGGGGCTTTGCACGTGTGCTATGATGCAGTTTACTTGGCATCTGAAAATACATTTCCTCAAAGGTATTTTTAATCTGAAAAGAGCTTCACTGAGTGAGAACTAATGTTGAGAGCTCAGCAGACAGTTAAGTTTCACTTTCACTTTCACCCGAGAGCCTGCAGGAGTCATGGGCGAGGTGTGTGGGGAGGGGGGGTACGCTCTGCCATGAGGAAGTTTGGCTTAAATACATGTCCCAGGGGCGTTTCTGGTTCCAAAAGGCGCTTCTGGTCCCCACCTGTCGTTTTGCTCCTCAGCATTTCTTCCTAAAAACGCTGCAGGATTTCTCAAACATGCATGAATGAGTCAAAGCAAGGTTTTGGACATGTTCTTTATGAGAGTATACCATTATAACATGATATAAAACTCAAAAAAGTTGATTTTACATGATATTGCCACTTTARAGATCTTCTTGTTCTAGACCTTTAGCATTTGCCTACACTGCCTATACCATGGGGCCGGCCCTGATTAGACAGATCAGATGACAGTTCAGGTTCAAATCACCATCGTCACTACCTGAGTGAATCCAGAGTGCAGTGAGGGTCCTCCAGCAAAGCCGTCAGCAGCATCAGGCCTGAGTCTCCTGGGTGGTTGAAGCTCAGGTCCAGTTTTCTGAGGTGGGATGAGTTCAGTGCAGAGGCCAGGAAAGTGCAGCCCTCTTCAGAGACTCTACACCCACACAAACTTTAAAATAAGGAGGACATGTTTTTTTTTATCTGAATATGCACTGAGATGATCAGAGAGAAATTACATTTTCTGTGCAAATGCAGCTAGAATGACTTTACGAAAGAAGCTGAAACTGTAAAAAGCAGCATAACACTGGCTAAAAGCTAAAAAAAACACCAGCTACAAGACAAAAGTAGCAAAATGTTGTAAACTGACAGTAACAAGAGCTTAGTAATAGTTAGAATAATCAGGAAAATTTTGAAGAACATTTTGATAAATGATTGGCTAAAATGGTACAAAGTATGTAGATGTAGTTTGTAAAATTAATGGCATAAAAAGTGAAGAAATTTGCATTCGTTAGATTTTTTCTTGGCAATAAACCTTATCTATCTTAAACCGGTAATTTCCCTTTTACAGTAAATGGTGCCACATTTGTAAGGAACATGCATTTGTGGGATGAGCAGTAGAGCTGATTGCACATAAGAAAAATTTGCCAAATTTTCTCTGCCTAACAGCTGTTGTTGTGATTGACACTTGTTTTGAGTTTCTGGTATCTCCAGGTGATGCCAATCAGGTGCCTTATATAAGATTTATTACCAAGAAGCATTGTTACAACAAAGAAATAAACTATGCTAATACATACAGTACACAGGAAGCTAAAACTAAAACTAGTAAAAACAACTGGACATACACGAGTTGTTCCAGTTTACAGTGAGGACTTCCTAGAGCAGTAGAAAAGGTTCTGACTCCTGCATCCTGAAAGTCGTTRTCTGTGAGATCCAGGACTCTGAGCTGGCAGCAGGTAGAGCTGATGACTGACGCCAGGGTGTCGGAGCTGTCCTCTGTCAGGTTGCAGGTTTTAAGTCTRAATAAACAGAAAATAATGTAAAAACAAGAGCAAGTCGCTTGGAGGGTATTGTGTGTGGAGCAGAGGTCACGTTGACCTGAGTGTCTCCAGTTTGCTGGTCTTCAGTCCATCAGAGAGCTGCTTCAGTCCTGCGTCTGTCAGGTTGTTGTTGCTCAGGTCCAGCTCCCTGATTTGGGACGAGCGGATGCCATTGGACAGGTTTTCACAGCACGTCACCGTGAGGTTACAGGCATTCAAGCTACAGCAAACAAGWAGCAAGAGCAACATTTATAAGGTCACAGTCAATCCATTTAATTTAAATGCAATCAAATTATAATCAGCATTAAGGGTTGTTCATCCAATTTAATCATGTCCTTCAGTTAGAAGAGTTAGAACAGTTCGATTCAGGCCTCATTCACACAAAAACATAGCTTTTCCAAAAAATAATTTGTCGTTTTTAAACATTTTCTTACAAACCTGACTGTTTCTAGAAACGTCTTCAACCAAATGAAAGCACAGAAAATTGCAATCCCAAATGGGAACATTGCCTGTGGTGCACAGTTATCTGACACGTTCAGTGTTCTAAACACACACACACCTGTGATGAAACAACATAATTTCTAAACCACAAGACATATTGCATATTTGATTGCAACAATCCATTTCTGAGACAATTCTGTCTTTCTKTGACACGCTACACGACCCCCTTCCCATCGGAAAACTTTTACTTTGATCCAATATGGCAGCTTTCAAGATAGCCTCAAACAGGACTTCTCAAATTTTGGGGTCTGGGGACCCTTTACAGGGGAGAAAAATGTGCAAGGACTTCCTCAAAGACCTTCTGCTGATTAAAAATAATTTAGTGCCATTTTAACCTTTAAATGTCATGGGAATAATTGTTTTTTGGTTTGTTTTACTGGAGTGTAGGGGCAGATATTATAAGATTTCTTTCTTTTTTTCTGCACCTTTTTCATTCAGTAATTGATTTACTTTGTTCTTTTAATGGACTTTTTATG